TCAATAAAATAGGCATATTTTATTTACTCACTATAAAACATATATATTATATAATCGAAAAAATCTAAAATTTGTTATTGTTTGTGCTATGCACTTGAATTTCTTCTATTTAGTCTTCCACATTACTTTAGAACTTTATAACTTATATTTGCAAATATATATGTTCAATGGAAAAATAACAAGGAGATCAGATTTAACAAATTGATTATAACAAAAAACGTTGTTACCTTTTAACAGACAATAATAAACAATTATGAATAAATTTTATCAATTATAATCATTATCATCTTTAAAATTCAAAATCAATTCTGCTGATTTGTATACCTCTTGATCATTTAATTTTGTTTCAGTTAAATGAAAATCAATAACATCATTCTATTAATTTTCTTAAATATACACCTAGGTTGTTTTAAAATTTATATATTTCATTTCCTAGTTTTTCGATTTATAATAATTAATGCAGAAACACATATATTTGTTTACAATTTTCTTCCAAAATTTAATATAAATATTCAATCTTCCCTAAATTGATAGGACAAGGCATTGATATCAATATTTGATGATAAATGCAATTTTAATTTCACCTTTTTATTTATTCATTTATTAATATTGATTTTTAAGATGTCTACACCTTTGTTGAAGTTAAAGAAATCCTTTTTCAAATCTATTTCAAAATATTCTTATTTTTGTCTGATTTGCTCAAAAGAAGTAGAATCAATTGAAAAAGAATTTCAAATTGAAGAAAATTTAAATTAACATCTCATCTTTTATGATCATCCTTAAACTAAAAGAGAAATTATTTCCTAATAATAATTAATCCAATAATAATTTATATTTTATTCAAAATATTAACAATAAGAAAGGAAACAATTATTCGAATTTTCAATTGCAAGAGAATTACATTAGACAGGTATAGCAGTTTATTTGGGTTTATTCTAGGTTTAAATCTTTATTTTCAAAATTGCCTATCCATTATTAAAGATCTCCTTTCTAAAAAGAAAACGACTTAAAAAGAATATATATTATTTTAAAAATGTTTTATTAATTACTTTTTGAACAATAGAAAATTAAATTTCAGATTAATCAATAGTGTAATTTTTTAAATGTGAAATATATAAAAATGACAGTGTTTCAGCACTTAATCTGCTCATAACAGCAACAGGTACTTTTATATTGTAAATAAAAGGCTATCAAATAAGTAGTGATACCAAAAGAAAAATTTTAACTCAAAAAAGGAAGCAATTAAACCTAAAATTGCATTGCTTGTGCTAATTCTATTTGAGTTAGATTTAACACTGAATTGCCTTCCTCATTAAGATTTTTAGATGTATTATAAAACAGAACTTATAAATCGATAAATAATAATGGTTAATAAAGTGGCATTCCAAAAATCTACAAAACTTTAGAATTAGCTGTTAAATTAACTTTAGATTTTTTGTCGGAATAATAAAATTCAAATATCATTCCTTCACTTAAAAGATAAGGGATATTTAAAGTCTCTTAATAAAATAAGATCTTAAAATCTAAATAGAATTATTAAGTGAAGAGGCTAAACAATTTATTAAAGGCTTTAACTTTTCAGCTATTAAATCCATTAAAAAATAGCTAAATCCTTATAGCAAAGCATAAAATTAATAGCAAACAAATGCTTTATTTGAAAATAGGTAGGAGAAGGAAGTTTCTTTTCCTTCATTATTTAATGTCTTCTTTTGTTACTTTTAATCTGCTGATACAATATAATTACCAGATAATATGGTTGATAAACATTCAATGAAGACTAAAACAAAAATAGAAAAAATAAATTAGAAATAAAACGAAAAAAAAATATCTAATAAATTTAGAATATGGTTGAATCCTTAATAGATGTTGAAGCATTAAATGAAGAATAACATATGTATAAATTTTTAGAAATTATTATTTTAAGTTAATAAGATTCTCAAGTATTGGCATAATTATTTTAGTCAAACATTAACTAAGACTCATTAGATCATATTAAATTATATGCAAAAGATTATAAAAATATAAAAAATGATATTTTGAATTCATTTCAAGATTATAAATGATAATAACCTATAGATTATATTTTAAAATAAAGCTAAACAAAATGTTATGGACCATCTATCTCTTTAATTTTGTTTTCAATAAGCTTAAATCCTTCTCATAGTAGTTAATAATTTTAATTTTCCTATCCATTTTCCCTTCTAAGGCTTTTTTTTTAAAGATCTTTTTTGATTTTCTGCTTCTAATTATTTCTCTTCAGACACATGGAAGAATCTCTTTACATTTTTTTTTTTTCCCATCGTCGTGTCTAATTCTTTAATTTAACTAATGGTATGGTTTGAAAAATATTACTTAATTTATTCTTGAGTAAAGGTTTTCATGACATATTTTGTACTTTATTTATATTTTTAGAAAAATTCATGATTTGGTTTCAGTGTTTTCATCACATTAGTAATCCAGTCTTTGTCTGGTAAATGTTTATAATCAATTCTCCAGCTTTTTTATTATAAAGGAATCTTTCGCAATTCCTCAATAATTTCATATTTTTTCACTGACTTAAGCAGCACACCGATCTATACTTCATTCAAATTTGTAACGTATATTTTATCAAATAAAACCCCTAATAAGTAATCTGATGTAATAATTGATGAAGCAAGTTTTGGCAAATACTTTCCTTAAAGTAGCAAGCCATAATATGCTGACTCTAAAGAAGATATCAATTGATTTGCATCGGATCTAGAAATCTTCAAAGATTCGGCTTCCTCTTACATAATTATAAAAGTTCAGTTTAAATAAGTTTACGTGATTAGATTAAATGCTTAAAAAAATAATGTCTAGAGAAGCTAAAACTTTAAATTTGCGGAGTTGTCATGGGATTTTTTAACAAAGAACAATATATTTTGCAATATCAAATAAAATATTTTAAATTATTTTTTCTTATGGATAATAATTATAGGCAAACAATTCTAAATGCAAATGCTGCAAAGGTATCGTGAAGCAGCAGATTCTAATCGTAATTATTTATAATATAAATAGAGCCAAAATTTAAAATTGTAGAGTAAATAACCTATGAATGTCAGCCAATACTGAATAGGCATTAACTATGCAATTAATTTTGCTTAAGCTTTACAAAAAGGATTTCAATTTCTAAAGAGATTCACTTATAATTTCCTAAAATTTAACCAATGTCATTGAAGGATAGCAAATTATTTGTATTCAAATTAGTTGGCCTCAATTAAGAGATCAAAGATAATAAAAAAAAGATGAAGAAAATTAAAAATTTTAAAGAAGAAGAGCATTCAAAATTGCCTCTCATCTAGCCTAAGTGGAAAGAAAATAAATTTTAGAGCTTTAAAAATAAAAGTTTAAAATAAATGTGATAGCTGCCATTTTTTGTATTACTCCTTCTTAAGTGAGATAAAATTTAATTCATTTAAAGATAATAAAATAAAAAGAACAACTAAGGATTACTAGGTTTTAATAAGAATGGTTGCTATAACAAGCATCATTTTAGTCAAATCAAATTCTCTTTAATGCTAAATCATTCCTATTTGCTTTCAAAGAACAATTTCTTAATCAAAATGTATTAATATCTCAATTTGGAAAGATTTATTAACATTAAATATTCGATATAGAATTCCTTCTCCCAAACCTTTCCAGTTCTTTAACAAAGATGGAAAAAGAGAAGAGATAAAGAATTTTATATCTTTGATTTGTGGCTACTTATAGTAAAAATACAAACTAATATTTATTGATGAATGTTCCTTAGAAAATATATCGAAACATTCTCATAAACAATGGCATCTTATAGGAACATTTAAAGAAACGAAATAAAGAATTTCTAACTTTAAATATTTAATTGGATGATTAGGTGAAGATGGCTTCTTATATTATTAATTATTTTCTAGTACAGGGAAAAGTTATATTTTTCAAGACTTTTTAATTGATGTTCTAAACTCAGCCACAATTTATTATAAGGATAAACCATTTGTTTTGATTTTAGATAATTCTAGTATACATAATCATCTTTAGTAAAGGAGTTATTTGATAATATCCCTTGCATTTTTACTCCAGTATATAGGCCTGAGTTTAACGCTATCGAACATATGTTTGGATGGATTAAAAGAAAGTTAGTTAATACATAACTGAGCATAACTTCATAATTTATCTAATAAATTCATTTAATCATCAATCAAATTAATGATGAATTGAAATCAAATTGGTGTAGAAGCATTTATGAGCCTCTTCTTAAAGAATTGTAATGGATATGAACTTTAAATATAAATATTTATAATTGATCAAAATCTATTTTTCTGTATGATTTAATGATTTATTTAAATGAATTAAAGTTATTAAAATGAAAATCACAAACAATATCCAAATATTAGGAAGAATTTATTCCCCAAATTTAGAGATGTAATTGATAGATACGATTATTTTGCTATATGTAAATCTTGTGGGTTGTAAATTGCATTAACGACGATAAATTTATATTAATCATCCTTTATCAAATTAATAAGCAAGATTGAAACAACAAATTTTTAGAGATTATAGCCAGAAGAATTTATGCATTTAATTTAATATTAATGTAAAAGTATGAATTAAGTTAATGCATTAATTCGATTCTAAAAATCAATTAATATACCAATATCCCCAGAAATGAAGGATGTAATTAAATAAAAAAAAGTAAACTTAAAGAAATTGCCGAAAAGAGGCCACATCGATCTTGGGAATTGAAATATATCCAAATGGTAATTTTTATTCATAAATGATAGTTTCTTGATAAACTCTTCATTTGTAAAAGGGGATTTTGGCTTTTAGATTATTTATATTATATGAATTAGCAGCAAGAATTTCTGAACTTTCACAAATAAGTTTTTCAATGGTGATAAATGGTTTGATAAATTATGTACCAAAGAAATAGTAAAGAATGGGAAAAAAGCTGAAAGTAGGTTTAAGTTAAATGAAAATGTTTAGAAATAAACAAAACTTTTTGTGGTTAGAAATAAAATAAATGAAGAGTTCACTTTCAATATGGGTCTTAATAAATAATAAATCCTAATCCTTTTACAAATAATTAAAATATGCTTAAAAACTAATAAAAGCTCGGTAAACCAATACTTCGTATGAGTATAATGAATTTTTAACAAATTGTTAATATCATGATTTAAGGTATTGCAAATAGCAAGAATTGCATAGAAGTGGATTAGAAGAGAAGCTGATTTAAAATTTTGTAATGCATGCAAATTTTAAAACAACCTAGGTGTATATTTAAGAAAATTAATAGAATGATGTTATTGATTTTCATTTAACTGAAACAATATTAAATGATCAAGAGGTATACAAATCAGCAGAATTGATTTTGAATTTTAAAGATGATAATGATTATAATTGATAAAATTTATTCATAATTGTTTATTATTGTCTGTTAAAAGGTAACAACGTTTTTTGTTATAATCAATTTGTTAAATCTGATCTCCTTGTTATTTTTCCATTGAACATATATATTTGCAAATATAAGTTATAAAGTTCTAAAGTAATGTGGAAGACTAAATAGAAGAAATTCAAGTGCATAGCACAAACAATAACAAATTTTAGATTCTTTCGATTATATAATATATATGTTTTATAGTGAGTAAATAAAATATGCCTATTTTATTGAATCAATATTACTAATTTTAGATATATTAGTAAATTTATAAGGATTCTAAGATAAGTTTTGATCTGAAATATTTCCAAAAGAGTCGAAAGAAAAACTTAAGCAATATTGTAAAAAAAAGGATGAGAGTATATTATGCCGTGTCGTTTTTACATATAAAAGATAACATTAAATTATTAGATGTTGATTTCAAGTCTCATTGAAATTCAATTTAAAATAATTTTAAGGTTAAAGAAATGCAAAACACTAATTGAAAGTTTAGAGCACACAGTTGTTTTACAGAACAAAAAATTTATTATTCACTGCAGTTACTAATGTGCAATTATGCATACATTATTTGAAAAGTGTAGTAAATCAGATTAATCAAAGTTATCAATATCAGAGCTATTAGGAAAATAACAAAGACTTGCCTGCCTATCAAGGATTATAACCATAGTAATTATAAAAGTTCGATCAGTTAAATTTAAATCTTACATTAAAAAAATTTTCTTTATTTTAGTTTTAGGTTAACAATCGTTGAAATTTGATTTATAAGTCAGGCTTTAATTTGGTGTAGATTAATAAGTAGTTAATTTTAACAAAGTATTAACAGTATAATTATAAATCTTTTATGGGTAAGAGTGTTCAAATTTTTAAGATTAATTTACTTTAAGCTTACAACTTTTTTTTCTTAATAATTTATTGATCTAGTTTTCAAAATACAAAAAGATTAAATAGACCATTAAGCAATGCGAATCAATTTCGATGATAAATTGAGTTTAATATATAAGCTCGGATATTAAGGTAATAAAGGATTGTAAATATAAATAGTTTAATTTGAAATTGAACATAAAAAACAAGGTATCTGCTTGTATTTAACGATATCTTATACTTCCAAACTTAGAAACAAAGATCAAGCCCTTAATTGCAAATATAAGATAACACTAATTATTGATTAACAATGTTGATATATTTAATTTAGAATTTAACATCTATGATTGAATTTGAAATTAATGTATTATTTTAAAAGATAGACAGAATTATTATGACATTATTAATATTATTGATAAATAAACATTAACATAATTACTATGTATTTATAGCTATTTAAGTAGGATTAAATTTTAGCTAATTGTCAGTATTAAATAATTTATTAATCATTTTTTCGTTATTGATTAATAAAGCAGTAAAATTAGTCACTATTAAAATTTTTTCATTTATAAACAAAGTTATCAAATTATTACAAGTTATGAAAAATTAATAAAATTATTTTTAAAATTAAACTCAGAGGAGGAGTAATAAATGGATTGTAAAAAGTTTATTATTAATATTAATAAAGTTAGATAGTATCATTATCACTAAGTCTTATTATAAATACTTAATAATAGTTTACAGCACCTTATAATTACTGAGCCTAAATATTAATAGGTAATATATTCATAATTTTTTTTATCAGAATTATCATTTATTAAAAATTAACCAATTTATATTGATTGGTTTTTAACTCCAATAAAATATAAAAATCCATCATCTTCGTTGAATAATTAAGCCAAGGAAAATTATTGATTTGTAAATTTAAATCTTTTCTATAGTTTTGTTTAATTAAACTATCCAAATTATTTATTATCTGTATTCACAGCATATTTCAGCAACTTGCCTGTATAGCCTACAAAGATTGATTCATCTTTTCCATAGCTGGTAATATATCTTTATCTGTATTTTTAAAATATTTATGTCTATGACAATTCTAAATTAGAATGATACAAATACATAAGTATAAATGATGTTTTCAGATTTATTATTATGTAAAATAAAAATTTCCTTCAGTGAAAGTCAGATTATATAATTCAGCATAAACTTATTAAATCTGTTAAATTTATTATAATTAGGGTATTTTCAATTAATATACAATAATTTATGTGTTAAATGTAAATAAAAGTAAAATATTATACTTTTATTATAGATAGTTATCATAAGTATTAAAATATATTTAAGTGTTCTTATCAATTTCAAAATAGCCAATAGAGGTCATTATATTGTTAATATAGTGTATGATACATTTATGATTAAATTAATTCGAATTCATTATCCAAAAAGACTAAATCAATTTTGATTTTTGATAATAAATATTGTATATTGAAATTCAAAAAGAATGTTATTTTAATATACTAAGAACCCATTTGTTGCTATTCTTCCATTTTTAGTATAGAAACTAATCAATAATCAATCGCATTAAGAATAAGCTTAATAATTATAATAAACTTGAAAATTATCAGTTTCTGCTTCTTTTTACAAATAAAATGGATATATTTATTCTAATGCATAATTCTAACTAATGATGAAGTATGATATTTATTTATTATAAAGTATATATATATATGGGTTTTCTCTTAATGGAATACAAATCTGTATAAATTAATTTAAGTAAGATGTTAAATTTATAAACTGATAATATTATGCAAAATATTAAATAATGTGTTCATAGGATATTCTAAATACTCTCAATTCGTTGGATATAATGTATAATCTTCGTATTTCCATAAGAAACTTTGAACAAAAAGGATTAAAGTGAAAGATATCATCTTATATGATTATTATTATGAAAATTCTAAAAGAAAAATATTATGGACTTATGACCAAAATTTCCTCAAAATTCTCAGCCAATACTACTAACAATTTTTAGATTTAATAATAAATGCTGAAATCCTAAATACTTGAAAATTAAGTACGATCTAAATCCAACTTATCCCAATGCTCCTAAAATACTAAAGTTTATGTTTGGCCTTTCAATTATTCCATATTTTTACTATTTTTTTTTAATTGACAACATTTAAAAAGCTTGCTAGTGCCAAAGGAAAGTCTTATCTAAAAATATTTGATGATAGTTTTCATATATGGATTGGACTTCTTTTGATCGATAGTCTTTTTTTTTGGAAACCTAAATGAAGTCTCGCAATATCTTATTAAATAGTCTAAAATTTTTTAAGACTAAG